TCCCAACAGGGTGCCCGCTTCGAATATGTACGACTAAGAAGTATTGTCAGCAATGGTGCAGATACCGTCGCAGGCTGTCTCTGCAAAGGAGGTTCCGCGATTTTGGGGCGATTAAACCACCGGGAAATGGACCGCAGGTTGCTTAGTCCTAGTTTCCATTCGCCAGGGCAACCCATTTTCGGTACCAATAATTGATCCACACCTATATTATACAAAATCAGCAAACGTCCCTTCGTGACCCAGGTGACACCCAAAGCGCAAGGACTCCAGAGTGAAGGGGCACAGATGGGTGCATGTGTGTGTGTGTGTTGTTTTTGCGGGCAACCTTTGTTTGGTTGGGCTTAAAGGGAAAGCAAAAGGAAAACAACCATGTTGGGGTCCCCTCAAAAAAGACAAACCCAGATGAATTCTGGATGTTGTGTTCCAAGCGTCATGAATTCATTGATCTGAGATGGACTCAGTGGAATCGACCTTTGTTGCCAGGCTCGCAACAGAGCCGCGGACACTGGTTACACACCCCATTACCTACTGTGGATGGACGAACTCCTGCACCACCTTGAAAAACCATGGTTAAAGTCCTTGTTATAACAGGTATTTGCATGTGAATCGACTCATTCCGTTGGGTTTCTTCGGCGCCTAAGCTGCTTTCGCCTCCATCCACGGCTTGTAACGAGAATATGTCTTGCAGGAGCGACGCCCCGAAGGCGCGAAGGGATTTGGCCATGGGCTGATCGGTCGATCGAGAATGAGGATGTGACCTTGGGCTGTTCAGAAAAGAACAGAAATCCTGAATCCTCATGTCACGACTTATGTCAGCTGGTGGTTTCTTTGCCTTGTACTGGTTTCTGCTGAGCTTCGGATTGGGGATCCCTTCCCAGTTGAGTGGGCCAGAAGCCTTGGGGTGTTAGCCGCGAACCAAGAGTCAGCCTGCTCGAATGGTCACATTGATTCGGAATATGGGGTCAGCCAATTCTCAGCTACGAAGCCATTTTACCGTTCCTGCGAATAAAGCTGGCGACTTTAAGTGACTGCCTGAGCAACGACAGGCACTTCACCAGGAGTAAAGGAATGAGTGACTAAAGAGACATCAGAACAAGTGAACACGCACGAAGTAGCACAGAACGGCAATACTGGTTGTTGTTCGCGACCAGGCATGAACGCAGCTTGAAGCCATTATCGCATGCATGGACTCGGACAGATGACATATCAAGTACAAGTCTTAAAGATACGGGAGCAAAGGTCAATAAACACGGTGACCTGCACTCACCAAAGTAGCAACATGAAACACGATTTGCTCACCAAACTCCAATCCAACGAGAGCCGGGAGGGGGGCAATGATGTTTGACTGTGGCTTCTGGCAGGTCAACCACTACTACAAATGTGAAATTGTAATGCGCAACATGCATCGAGATACCATGATTGACATGTGTTTGCACGTAGAAGGCGCATGTTTGCACGTAGAAGGAGCCATGATTTACATGTTTCTGAGATTCGCACTTGCATGCTCGATCGTGTGGCCAGGCCTAGCTTCCCTTTTTTGACTTGTTGAAATCGTTTCTTCATCGACAGCAAGCAGTTGGATTTGAAAGTGGTCCGGGTCAGGACAAGTGATAGCGGACAGGGCTCAATCTCAGCTGCAGTCGATGCTGCACAATCAAGCCCCTGTCTGATGTTTAAGTCAGGACTCCCCGTGTGCGGTGCCTCAAGAGAGGGGTTTATCAGGACTTTCGGAAGGGGAATGGCTAGGGATGTCAAAAGTAGGGACCTCCTTTGGGAATTAGATCGAAAGGGGTAGTTCGACACGACCCCAGATGAGTCGTTTCCAACAGCTCCCATGCGGAATGATTTGCATCCGGGGCAGCCCTTCGGCTTGATCTCACAGGCCGCCAGGCCCAGCAGAAATGGTTAGCATCGAATTGGTTGGTTGGTTGGTTGGTTGGTCGGTCGGTTGATTGGTTTTTGTTTGGTGGGTGGCTTGGTTGGTTGGTTGGTTGGTGTGGTTTGGTTTGGTTTGGTTTGGTTTGGTTTGGTTTGGTTTGGTTTGGTTAGTGATCCGTTCCTTTGATTCGGAACCAGCATTTGAAACAGGACTATGAGGTGGGCTACTGACACGGGCGAGGCAATGCAGGCAAGGCGACCCATTTTGGCAGTCAGAGTTCTCTCACGCTTTTCGCGGGCATGTGCGGGTTCTATGTTTTTTTGGCGTTTTGGTTGGTGGTTGTCGTATTTGTCAAGCGCAACGGCATAACAGCCGTTGCGGAAGTGCACTTTGCAGATAAACAGAAGAGCCGAGTATCCTATGCCGTCACATACCAGTCTTCTTTTTCCTCTCTTGCAAAACGATGCAAGAAACAGCCCCAGTGACATTGTCGCCATTTGAGCCTGCTTCTTTGGGAAGGACATGGGCGACTAGCCATGTTTATCAAGCAAAGCACATGTCCTGCCGGCGAACTAACAGTGCTTTTCGGGCCTTGAATGATGAGAAGGTCCTTGTGTTCCCCTGTAGTTCGATGTTGCATGTTCAAGCGTTTTGATCACTCCTTTTGCCGGGCAGGTGTTGACCCCAATCCCTTTCCAACACAGTGAGCTCTTGCCTGATTCTTTCGCGATTGTAGCTACACTGATCATGAACCTGTTCAGGAAAACATGTTGGGTACCCAGCCAGCGGGATACTACACATGTTGAGTTTATGCAGAGCAGACACGATCAACGACCCTCCAGCCTGATCTCTTGTGGAGTTTTAGAACAGTCTTGGTCTCCTCTCGCGGGTCTCTCTGCTCATTTGCTCAACCAAGGGATTGGCGGTGCCGCAGATGCGCAGAGTCCGCTTTGATGACAACCTTATGGACCGGGCCAGATCGACAAGCGGATTGAGCCTGGTTGGTGCGCATGAGGAAACATTATGCGTATGAAATGTACAGAGATGTACATATGTATACATATAAATATAATGATTTTACGCTGATTGCACATAGACGTGTTCATATGTACATGCAGTATATTCTTGAGTTTGATCGGGTGGCTTGACCAGTTCGAAGCTTTGGCTTGATGACCTGTGAGACTGAGGATTCGAAGGACTCACTTCAGCGCATGCTGTGGATAGCACAGACAAATCAATACCCTTTGCCAAAGTTGAGATTTATAAGTGGCTGCCCGTGGCATGCTTGGCCATAACCTTGTCTACTCATTCAAAATCCGAGTTGCTGACTTGCTAGTTGTCTGGTTTTAGAATGTAGACTGAGAGCCCCAAATCAGCAAATTGCGTCGTCGTGGTCAATGTCTTTGCGTTTTTTTCCTGGACATCAATATTTGACTCTTCAAACAAAAGGGACCAAGCTGGACTGCTGTTGTGTTGAATTGAGTTGATCATTGTGTGAATCCCAAGTGGAACTGGGTCACAAGGGGTAAATTGCCCTTTACAACTACTTGAATAGGATGGACCCCGGAGTTTAAGAGTAGTTGTTTTTTGCTTTTTCGGGCTGATCGCTTATCTAAACGGAGAATGAGACATGCTAATTCGTGTGAATGCGGACGCTGAGCCAATCCATTTGCATTGTTTGTTGTCTTGAACATAAAATACTCCATTGGCGGAAGGCAGGAAGGCAGCCGGGCTCGCGTGTAGCCACGTCAAATTCCTCATGGCGTGCGTTCGCTTGCGAGATGGCACAGAGGTAATGACGTCGATTCTTTGAGGAAGAGGTCATGGGGCAGTGACGAACACTTTGTGTTTTTGCGGACAATGTCAATTAAGCCGAGTTGCTGAAAGTGACCGAGTTTCGACTACCATTTGGCTTTTGCTCAAGAGAATCCCACCGTTGAGCAGGGCCCAAAAGCGTATGAATAGACATAACTTAGGAGTGGCCAAACGACTGCATCTGATTCCCCTTGACCAGTGACAGCCTTCCTATCTTCCTGACTTTGTCCATGGTTTTGCATCGACCTCTATTCACCATTGGCCATGTGCCCGCGCAAACGGCAGACCTGGAGTAAGGCGAGTGATCATGTTCCACTGTTTTCTCGCAGTTATGCACTGTGACGTGGAACCTCCCGACCCTGCACAAAGAAAACAACTTTCCAGCGACCGATCCTTTCAGTTCGTGTCATGTTGGTGATTTTGGGCTCAACTCTTAAATGACTTCGAGCAAGGCCCAATGGGACAAGCCTTGAACTGGACTCAAGGCCCTTTAAACTGCAGCTTTGCAAGTCTGTTTGCTGAGCTACCAAGAGCCGAAACTTTCCCTGTTGCTTTGTGCACCCGTCGAACCTCACCCATCTTTGCCCGTTTTGCTCGGTGCTTCGCGCGCAACATGGGTTCCAACATCCTCACCGGTCGCTGGGCCGTCTGCCTCCATCGCCTTGGCGTTTTGGCGAGGAGTCCCCCCGGGAGCCCCGGGTGCCACTGCCGCCGGGGCACTGTCTGCGGGGGGCCGAGAGTCGGACATTTGGCCCAGGAATCAGTCCAGTTGGGGGTGATCCCTTTGTTCAGGTTGGACCCCCTAAAACGGGTGGGTTGTCAAACGAAGTTGTTCCCCTCCGAGACAAAAACAAAAAAAGCAAGCAGAAAGGGGCAGCCTCGAAAAAGAGACAACCTGTCTCATGGTTTCGCTTGGGATTCATGCCTACCCCCCAAAAAATGCATTAGGCCCCCTCCCCACAAAAAAGAGAACATGCTCTGGGAAAGGAATACTATTTATTATACGGGTCCCCGGGTTTGGGAGTGAACTGGGTTCCTTCTAAATGTCGTGGACGTCGACCCAAAACGGGGGAGAAAAAAACAGCTTTCAGAATGCTTTTTAAGGTAAAGAATTTGCACAATTCCGCCATGGGTTGAGCTTTCTTTAAAAAAAAAAGGCTCCGGGGGAGGGCCCAAACAAAACGACTGGGGTAGGACTTGGTGGGAGCTTTAAGACATCCTTGGCGAGAAAGACTATTGTCAACCAAAATCGAGAGGATCCCCATGTAGGCAATTGAAAGCACTGGCTTGAAAGTTTCTGACTGCCAGGGCCATTTTTCCTCTTGGGACTAGCCTCTGATAGAAAACAGCAAGATTGGTCATGTCCTCCAGCTGGGAGGAGCCCTTGCCGCCATCGTGCACATCTCTCATGTTCAAACTTGGCCGCAAAATGACGCAGCAAGAGTTCCTTGTGCGTTTCAATGCGTTGTACGGGTATGAATTCTGCCCATACAACTTCGTTCACCTCCCTTGGTCCACGCTGGCAATCGTGAACTTCCTGAACGCGGAGGTGTGTGCAGACTGCTGGGCTCGGACCAAGGAGCTCACAGCGGCGGGAGAGATGAAGGGGGCACGAGCAGCCACCCACCACGGGCTGGAGAGCAATTTGGTGGACTACCTCTCCCGAGCCAAAGGCAGCGGTCAGATCGCCAGCAGGCCCCCGCTTGTGTTTGACCGCGGAAGCTCTATCTCCTTGGCTCAGGCATGCCGCTGTTTTGGGCTAGGCTTGATGCGCACCAAGGCGCCCAACTTCCATCAGATTCACTTAGACTTTTATTCAATGTCTCAGACTGCGGTTTGGCACTACCTCGAGAAGATGCCGGGCACGCAGATTCTGCTTGACATTTAGCCGGCCAGAGGAAACTTTTTCGCCATACCCAGCCCAGGCTTGGGAGTAAATTCAAATATCAGGCGTTTATGCTTTCGATGTCCACCCCCCCTCCAGAGAAAGCCACTTCAGGAAAAGCCTGGGTGGCTTGTTGTTCACGCCATCTTGGTTTCTTCCAACCAGGTCGCAAACTGAACAAAAGTGCGAACTGGAAAGGCCGAGCAAGCGCAGTCGGAGAAGTCATCCAAGATGTCGCAAGTTGTGCAACGTGTTCACTCACGACCGCGCTTGGATGGTTTTCCAGTTGCCAACAAGAATTGTGCATTTTGGTGAAACTGGACTCACAATGTGATTCTGGCATGGGTGTTCTCTAAGGAGTGTTTCTGCCACAGGGACTTTTTTGGTAGGTTGAGTCCAGTTCTAGGAGCCTCCTAGATTGTTCAAAGTCAATCCTGGTGGTGCTTTCCCTGCGGGTGCCCACTGCGGATTACGGATTGGCATCCGGGACCCCATTTGGAACAATCACTTACACATGTTTGGAAGATGTGTCACGCGGCAGGCGCCTGGAGGAGAGAGTTGTCTCTGAAACTTGTCATGAATGAAATGTGTTGAGGTTAGTCTTGCTTCAGTCGAACAAGACGTGGGACGCGCCGTTGCTCAAGAATACTGGCGATGCATCTTGCTTGAGTCTTGAGCAGAACCAGCTGGCCACATCCAGCCAGTGGACCAAAAATCGTTCAAAGAAAGGGGGCGAGCTTGTTTTTGGGGACGAGCATATGAGCAGGCGTTTCATCGCAACGGCTCGCAGAGGAGCAAAGCCATATCAGCTTGTCCAAAATCACACTGATTTCCCTCAGGCCGTCGGGCGTCGCTCGTGGTGCCTTTTTAGGGCTCCGTGGTTTAAAGGCCTCCGCGTCCGTCGGGCCTTTCAGACCTTTCCGGCGCACGTTGCTGCTTGCCTTGACGGCCCGCCTGCTCAGGACACCATGAGAGGCATGATGGCTTAGATCTTTGTCCCATCCAGCCAGACTATGGTTGCTCCATCCAATTTTGCCGCGTATCCTTTGTGGGATGGTCAACTAGGTCGGCTGTGGCTTTCCACGGCCCGTGTCATTTTAGGCTATGCTTTGGTGCTCACTTTTGTGACAAGCCTAGTGGCACACAATGTGTTTTTGGACCCAGCTAGGCCCGCCGGTGTGGCCGCTTCTTCTCCCTGTTCGAGGGGGTCAGGTCTGGCTTCCTTCCTCGGGATTTCAATCTGCTTTTCTGACTTGGCGCAAGGCATTTCGGGACGGTTCTGCGCCGTGCCCAGCCTGTGTCACACATTGCTTTGGTGATTGCCAGACATGGTTGGCTGCAAGGCCTGCTCTTTGAAGTGCTCGCGTTTTGTGAGGCAACGCCTCACGCTCTTTGGGTGAAAATGGCCATCTTTTGGTGCTAACCCTCTTCTCCTCACACATGACGACGGGGTGTCTCATGCCTTGATCTTGAGTGCTGCGAGGAGAACGTTTCCACGCACCAACAAAGACCCCCCAGAGAATTCCCTGCAAGCAGCGTGTGGACAATCAAGGGACACACCGGGGGATGCCAGTTCAATCAATCTAGGGGGGGCTGGATTTTTAGAATAGGCCAATTTCATTTCGCTCGACTGCCGCACGCGACATGGAAGCTTCGTCCGAATCATGAGATGTCGCATCCCAGTGCAGCAGGAGATGCCTTTTCCATCATGGTCTTTTACAGGGGTCCCTATATTTCCCTTTTTGGCTGTTTTAAGCATCACCTTTTTGGCCCATGAAAGGTGAGTATCCCTTGGCGGGGGTGATGTTTTAAGGGGAAGTATAGGGAGCCCTGTTTTAGCTGGCTGTGTTGAGATGCGGGCGTAAGCAAGTGATGCTCCCCGCAAGATGCCGTGTGTAGTGCCTGCGTTGGCAGCGGATCGGGAAGTTTTGGGAAGAACCTGATTGTTGGAAAGAGGGTAATCGCTTTGTGGAGATGCGGGTGTAAGCAAGAGATGATTTCTGCAGCACGCCGTGCGTTTCACTTGCATTGGAAGCTGATCGGGAAGTTGTGTGAAGACTAGATTTCGTTTGGGGAACCTGATTGTTGGAAAAGGGGTAATCGTGGTCTTTAGCTGGCTTTGTTGAGATGTGGGCGTAAGCAAGTGATGCTCCCCGCAAGACTCCGTGCGTAACACCTGCATTGGAAGCTGATCGGAAAGTCGTGGGAAGACTGGATTTGTTTTGGGGAACCTGATCGTTGGAAAGAGGGTAATCGATCGCCAACTTGCGCAACACATTGCGCAGTCCAGAGAGCCTCCCATCTTCGTGTTTGAGTGCAGCAACAGCAAGAGTAGCGATAGAACGTGTGTTTCTTTACAAACAGGCAGGGCGCTTCGGAGTCGCTTCTTGGATTCTTGGAGAAACTCATTTGAGACATCGCCGCATCCGATCGTTCAGCCGGACGGGCGATTTGATGTTGACCATCTGTTTCAGGCCGCGAGACCGAAAAACGTCGAGCGAAGCTCGGACAGAGGTTTCACCCGGTTCAGCAAGCATTTCCGGACGAAATGGTCCACCTGTTGCAGTGTAGTCTGCCAAATTCATCCAGGCAAGTATGTCTGAGGTGTTGATCTTTCGTGCAGCGCAATGAGCAAAAACAAGCCTCCTTGTGCGACAATGTCACAATGTGGTATGCGTAATTGCGTAACTTGTGCTTCACCATGTTTCCGAGGTTGACTTATCATTTAACAATGTTGCCCTATGCATCTGATGCCCTTAATTTATGCCAAACCCTTGCCCTTTGGAAATTCCATGCCCTTCATGCGCCCCTGGCTGACTCTGGCAGAAGCATCAGGCAGACTCCAGCAAGATCCACGGCCGGTTTTTCTGCAATCTATTGTTTTCAACACTTGCTCCGATTACCAGCGAAAAGGGTGCTGTCTCCATGGAATTGCAGGTTTGCTTGGGTCTCACTGTTTCTTGCAGACTCTCGTGGTGTTATTGCGTCTAAGAGAACGACACCTAGAGAGTATGCCTTTCTAGCATGTTCATTGTGTTGACAGGCAACGACAAGTCAACACTAGTACGGATATGGTGATCCTGCCATGGCTCGTATGTTGGTAGTCTGCGTGCTCTTCCTGGAAGCTTCAGTGATCGAATGAGAGGCTGGTTGCTATGAGCCAGTTCCTTTCCCATCTCGCCCATGAAATGATGACATGGGTGGGCGGAACCGGTGCTGTTTGAGTGCTGTGCCTCGAGTCTCGCCCCCCTGCAAGTTATGGCTGACTTAAGCCCTAGCCCAGCTATTCAGTGGCACCCATTGTTGGTTTGGATTGGTAGTTTGGGGAATTGAACCCCTAGCTTTTGTAGAGGGCAAGTGAGAAGCCACCACTTCACCACCACCAATATAAACCATGGAGGGAAGCTGAAAGATCGGTCCAGACCAAGAGTGGGTTCCCTTTTCCTGCCAGCGTCACTGGTCCGGCGAAGTGTAGACCATGGAGGTCCTCAGCCGCTTTTCGCCACTCCGAATGTGTCACACACACACACACATTCTGTCATAAATTGCAGGAGAGGTGGCACTATGCGTCCCTTCAGAACATGCTTGAGAAAGGCGGGAATCCATAAGGGTTTCAATCTGTGGGATGGCCACATCGGTCAGATCTTCACTCCGTTTTCGCAGGCTTTGAAGTTGCTGTGGGAGGAATCCCACAACACGAGGCAGCTAACTTCACTGGTAGAGGATGTACTAGTGTCGTGTTCCAGCGCTTGGAGTCCAAATGCGCATGGACGCCAAGGAACCGCATGCCGATCCTGAAGAGAGCTCAGGCGAGGTTTTGGCCGGTGGGTCTGGGTCAAAAAAAAATGCCGCCAGCAAACCGAGAGATTTTGGCCCATCTTTCCATTTACAGGGTTCCATTTTGGGCACCTTTTTATTGACCCACGGCCAAGTCGTGGCATGACACTGGGCCTCGGTGGAGACTTCTGCTGGTCCAGCGAGCTTCTTCGGACCTGAGAGGTGGTGTGGCTTGAGCCGTGACAAGTGCGGAGGGGTCTACAGAGCGACTACCTACGTGTGCCAAGGCCCCCTTGTGAGGTTATTTGATTCAGGTCTGTAAAATTTTCAATTCTGCAGACTGTGTGGTTTGATTCAGGGCTTGCTTTGCGATCACCTGAAGACGCGACCCGCGTTTTAGCAGGTACGCCCTGGAACAAACATCTCGAGCCAGAGAATCAGGATCAACCTTCGGAATTTCTCGGAAGTTTCCTGTAAGTAGATCAGCGGGAGCTTTCCTTGAGGAAACCGGGGAGCGCTTCCAAGTCGTTTGTAGGCAGCCCAATTTGCTCTAGCATGGATGTTGCTTAAGTATCATGGGGGAGTAAACCGTATCTATAACAGATGGCTAGCATGTTTCGCACATGTTCTTGACACATGACGCGTGAGATTCCAACGTTTTTGTAGCATCAACCTTCGTCCGCTGCCAGCGCGCATGTAGACCAGTACAAAGGCCTGTAGACGCGGTCTGCTTTGGGGGGTCACAGGCAACAGGGCAGCCCCGCAACGTGAAGCGAGGCAGTTCCGCGGGCAGTTTCTTATTGGACTCGTCGCCCGAGTTGAGTTCTTGTTCCCTTGCCCTGGGCTTGCAAGTCAGGCGCTTGCGTTTGCGCCTATGTGTTTTGAGATACTCGCGCGGAACGGCATCGCACGGGTTCTTCTCTGAGAACGGATCAGCATCTCGTATGGCCGAATCTGGAAAATATCAGGGACTCTCAGACCGAGGCAATCTCAAGCAAGTCGGCTGAGCCCGGGAGCAACATGCACCCAGTGAATCCCACGTGAATCGGTAGCCCAGCATTTTCCTTTTGGTTAAAGGTCGGTTCCTCTACGGCCATGGGTCAAAACCAATGGGATCCCATGTTGGTAGGTGAATTACCACCCATTTGGGGCTACCTATTTTAGTGGCAATCGGGATACGGACGGCAAATCCACACGGAAACAGCCTCGCTCCAGGTCCACGAGCCCACCACCCCCGAGGCGCTCCCCTCTGCTCGCCTCGGATCGGAGCGGGCGCCCAGCCGCTCCGATCCCGTGAAATTGCGTCGCAACGCTTTGGCGGGGCTTGAAAAGTGTCAGGCGGTGGCACGTCAGACACCGATATCCACTTTCCACCAGAGAGTTGCCAAGAGAGACCAGTCCGTCAGGCTTGTACTTGGTTAGTTCGATCCTGTTGTCTTA